ATAGATAGATAGATAGATAGATAGATAGATTCAGTTGATATCTCTATATATTAGCACCCAAAACCTGAAAAGATAAGTAGATCCCAAGGAGAAGAAAGTAGACAGTACTACTGTTAACTATCAATCAGGTAACATTTTTAATATTTCCCACATTAAAAAATGTTATTAAGAACTTAGCTCCATTACCTGTATTTATTTTTAGCTGTGGAAAAGTCTTTCTTCAACCATTCAAAGAAAAGACTGCAAAAATGCAAATGGAAACTGAGCTTAATTTCAAAGTTTACTCTGCAGAAATGAAAAAGGGCTAAAACATCCATTTCTAAGCCGGTGCCCTTAAGGTGTCTTTTAACCCCACGCTAGAACAGCAACCACATTCTAGCAGTTGATGCATTTCGTCATATCAAAGCACTTTTGCTAATGACTAGAAATGTCTCAATTTAGGTAACTGAAGCTAAAACTCTCACATCCAATAATGAGAGTTTTCAAGCAAGATCTCTGCATTGCCCTGAGGTTTCATGACCAGGGCAGGTTGGACTTAATTTCTTGGTCTGTCAATCCAGCAGAGAGTTTGATCCAAACTGGAACAAAAACATCTGCCAGGATCCTATACAATCTTGCTCTCTAAAAGTTCTTCCTTATAGCCAAGTGCTTTTACCCATCTTTGAGCCAGCAGAAAATCATGCAGACATAAACATTGCTGTCTCCACTCATGATTCCCATCCTGCTGTAGTACAATGCCAGAAAATAATCCTATCCTTCTTTAAGGGAGGGCAGAGACTGGTAGGTTCTCCCAGCTTTCTTTCCCTCCCCTCCACCAAAGAGCACCAGCTGGCAGGAAAACATCCATTTATCACTTTTCCTTAACTTGGGGGAGGAAGTAAGTTTGGACAGGTGGCTAAACTGGCAGATTTGGCCATGTATCAAAACTGCTTTGGTTTTGCACAAGTGTTTGCACAGCTATGTTCAAAAGAGACCTGACTCTCAGCTTTTGGAAATGGGTTTAGTGTGATTCCAGACTAGTGCGGCAGCAGAATGGAACTCTAAAGCTTTGTTCAAAAGCAAGCTGACTTAATGTCTGACGGGCATGGGGAAAATGGTGCCATAAAGCATCCAAAAGAGTTGCTCTCACTCTCTCTCTCCTGCTTCACTGTGCAGGAACCCCACTGCTGGTCAGCTGCTGGTCAGGCTAGTCAAAATCTCTGAGTGGGGATTGGCTCAGAGATCCAAGGTTGCAAGGGGAGAGCCGTGTTTGAAAGAACTGAACTCTTCCACTGCCCCAAACAGAATGTCCTTGGAAGACAATGTCCGGTGGCCAGACAAAGGGGAATACCCATGCCAAACAGAAGTGGCCAATTGGTGCTGGGTTGACCCCACCCCCTAGGAGTCACATGACTGCACCACCACCAACAAAATGCTCACCAACAAGGGAAGTGTATCAAGTTTTATTCTCAGCAAAACCCATGTTGGAAAAGGGGAGAACACTACTTGAACACCAGTAGAGTAATGGATGACTCACCGTTGTTGAGATGCTTTAAGTCTAGGGATCAGAGGAAAGTAAAATCATGAGGATACAGCAGAAAAAAGAGGTGTTGGAGCATGTTGGTGCCACAATTAGATGCCATGAGAAAAGGCTCCAAGAGCAATAGAATTATCTTTTGTGGCACTCTATACAAGGAATAGGGTTTCATCTGTTTGGAGAAAGCAGGTCCCATAGAGTGTTTCCTATGAAGAATCTCATATGCTGAAGCCCTCAAGACTGATTGGTAAATTATATCTTGGCAAGTCTGTACTAAGAAAGAAAGAGAAATTGCAAGGTTAAGTGAAGACACTGCTTGCCATCCCCTCATCCAGGGGTCGGATTATCTATTTAAGTTCTCTAATGCGTACCACTGAATCCAAAAGACTTGCAGTCCAAATGTGGGGCAGCCAGAACAACAAACACAATCCAGAACATGACACCAGCAATAGGATTCCCCAAATGTAAGTGTGTAACGACTATACATATCACTGTAATTACTAGCTTTCATCCATTAAAATGAACAGAAACTGAAAAAAATAATCTTCCCCAAAATTGCCCTAGATCAGTGTTTCTAAAACTTTTTGCTTTCAGGACCCCTTCTAAAAAAAGGGAGGAACCAAAAATTATGGAGGAACCAAAAAGAGCTTTTGTCTATATGGGTTATATTTATTAATATTTACCATATTAAAAATTAAAATGGATGCATTTGTAGAATATTTATTTATTGAATCATGTAAAAATAACAATATCAAACCCATTAGATATTAACATAAATAAAATATTTTTTATGAAAATAACCTATACTTTTTAACAAGAGAATGGCATTGTTTAAAATCTTTGCAACTATCTTTAATATCTGGGAAATAATTTTGATTTCATGGACCCCTGAGAAGGTCTTGGAGGGCCCCCAGAGGGCCTCGAATGACGCTTTAAGAAACATTACACTAGATAACAGTGCAGGAATGCATTAATACCTATATCTTATTATGATATATGATTTAGCAGATGTATTGGAATGATGTTAGAACCCTACAGTAACTGGCATTCCTTATATGGCTGAGAAAGCTCTCCAGAAACTATGCTTATATTTCTTCATAAAATTTAACTGATTGACATATTTTTCTCTTTTCAGATGAAACCAACAGTGCTAAAGTGAAGAATGACAGTATCCAACATTCCAGTAGAAATGTTAGTGTTTTCTATGAAACTACTATGAGTTGGACTTGGTTCCCAGGATCTCTCCCCAACGGAGCTGTGTCTCACTGGAACAGCTATGCTGGCCGATGGGAATATCCTTGCATTGAACCAGATTGTGCTGCTGGTTTCTACAGCCCCAGCCATGGTCCTTACTGCTATTACCCATATGGAAACAAAGAATACTCTACCTCTCAGTTCTGGATTTTGGTAAATGAACATGACTTTGAATCACTGAGCTGGAAGGGGGATTCATGGGGTAGGGTCCCACCCAACTCCATCAACACCTGCGCAGGTATAAGGTTATATGTTGGTAAAAATAAGTACGGATTAGGGAAGGTGGACAGTAAAAATCAAGCTTTCTTCCTCGGTTACAACGGCAAGGAGTACTGGTATAAACACTATGATGTCCTGACCATTAATAAAGATTATCGCTCTCAGAGCATTTCCCATGTCAGGTATTTCCTAAACCAAGGATCATACACTGAATTAGGCATGTCCATAGTCTCTAGCCAAGTTACCAACTACGATTGTAGGACAGTGAAGAAGTTAACCACCTTATCAGGAACAGTGACTTCTGAACATACCTGGGATGTGGGTATTTCCGTCTCTCAGGGCATCAGCTTTAGCATGACAGCAGGGATACCTGAAGTCTTTGGAGTGTCATGGGGCATTTCATCAGAGAAAACTTTCAACTGGACTAAGGGTTACACACGCAGTGAATCAATCACTTACTCTGATACAGTCGAAGTTGAAGTCCCACCCAACCACAGCTGTGAGCTGGTAATGAATGGAATGAAAATGAGAGCAAGTATTCCCTTCAATGCGACTGCTATTCGTTACTATCACAGCGGAGCAAGCCGAAGTGCGTCCATCCAAGGTGTGAGTCACAGTGCCGTTGTGGCTCAAGTACGAACAGTGATCAAGAGGTGTGAACCCATCCCAGATGCACCTCCATGTACTATACAAACCCCAGAAGTGGTCTTCTAGCCAGGTTAATTATTGTGTTTTCACAGCATGCTCAACCTAGCTCCTGAATTAATCTACAGTAATACCTCGGTTCACGAACGCTTCTGTTCACGAACAATTCGGGTCACAAACAGCA